CAACAGAAAAAACTGGTGAAGATCAAAAGAACTATCTTTTTTTTAAACTATGTCCAATTTCATTGACTCCTTTTTATAGATTTCCAATATCTAATCATTTTTTACCAACAAAGGTGGCAGTTTCATAAATTTGAGACTAATATGTGGATTTGCACACAATCTTTTGTTCTGTGTAACTTGTTTCTTGTCTTGCTGCCATGCTGCTCTTCAGTCAGAGCGAAGACTGAACCCAGTTAACCCAGTTAGCCACACAGGTAAGACTGATGAAACACATCCCGGCCCCTTTACTGATTTACTAAAGAATACCACCTCTAAAATATTTACATTTTAGAATTTTCCAAGATTTACTTTGTGCCCAAGTACATAATCGATTTCTTGATCAATACATGAATATATTTTATTTTGCTTTCAAGTAGGTTTAATGATTACACTAATCAATTTTTATTTATTCTTACTAGTTTTTGAAACTAAATTCCAGTTCTGCTTTGAAAGCTCCCACCAGAAGAGGTTTTTTTTTTTTGGCCTGCTTCTAGTTTTCGCAAATTTAGCACAACTTATTCTAGGTTTTCTTGTATGTACACATTTGTGACTGTTATACTTTCTTCATAAATAGTGTTTTGGTAATTACCTTCTGTCTTTCTTTTGTTCTCTTTAAACATCAGTATTGCCAAATACAAATACAAAATGACCCTCAGCTTGATGGGTCATCCCAGAGTTCACCAAGTTGAAGAGCATAACACACACCAAAAAAGCTCCTGGGTGCTTTCAGCATCACCCACTCCCCCAGGAACAAATGTACCCTAAATCCCAATGCCACTGGTTAGACTTGTTTGATCTAATTTGGGACTCTGAAAAGTAGCACTGCACTGTAGCACTGTCCTCTGGTTGTTCATCGATTTGCTCTAAGGGGCACCAATCACGTCTCCATTGTGAGACTTGTTGTGACTGTTTTTTGGCATATTAAATATGCCCCGGGGAGTTTGCCAGGCTCTGTCCTGTGGGCAGGATGCGCTGGGTAGCTGGTTGACGGGAGGGCTCTCCGAGAGGGCCGAGCCCGGGTCTTCCATAAACAAAACAGAACAAAAATCCCCTAGGTCAAGTCCCCCACCCAGGGTCCCCGTTCCTGTGGGGCTGGGGGAAGGAGCAGGGGGCAGGTCCTGCCGTTTCAGATCAGGGAGACGCAGACCAAAGCCCCGCTGCGACCCCGACCCCGCGGCTCCTTACCCGGAATCTAGGCGCTCCTCCCTGGAATCTGCTCCCGCTCGCGCCTCTCGCCCGCCCTTCTGCTGCCCACCCCTCACCCCTGGATTCTGAGCCCCCCACCTGCCCCCATCCCCACCCCGCCGCACCCAGCAAAGAGAAAGGCATGCAAAGGTCACGAGCAAACGCCTCCCACGCGAGACTCTCCCGCCCTCGCGGCCCGACCACGCAGAGGGGGCCCAGGTGGCAGAGACCCCGGAGGATCTCCGAGCCCACCGGGAGTGATTCCTGAGCACCGCCGGGGGCGGGGGTAGCCCCACAACAAAACAAACACCCCCCCCCCAAATTGTTAAGAGGCAGAAGCTTCACACACACACACACAGACACACACACACACTCATGCCCGCAGAGTGAGCCGCCCCCCATCAGTGCTCTGCGCCCCCTCCCACCCCGACACCCCCAGCTCCTCCTAGGGGCCAAACACACGCTGTTCGGGAGCAGCAAGCCCTGCAGGCCGAGCGAATCCAACACCCCCCGCGAGAAACAGAGTCCGTCCCCCTCCCCCACCCCAGCCTCAGTTTCCCGACTGCCAAGGGAGCTGACGGGCACAGGGAGGACTCGGAGGAGCTCAGCCAGCCGGGTGCTGGCGTGGTGGAGCCGAGTCGCTTCTCATGCACCTTCTGGAGCGGGCTGGAAGCCCGACCCCCACTCCCCCGGCGCCCCCTCACCGGGGAGCCCGACCCCCACTTCTACCGGCGCCCCCACAGCGGGTCCTGGCACTTTCTGTCCGTGAACCCACTTCGGCCTCCCGCACCCGCGCTGAGCGACGCTGGCCGCTATTTGATCTTGACACTGATCCTCCCCGTCGTGGCAGATCAGGAAATAAAACGCGGGGCTCCACCTGCCCGGGGGGCTTCGAGACCGCCCGGCCGAGTCCCCAGCCGGCTCGCGGGGAGCCGGTCACGCGGACCTCAGAGCGATCGTGGGCCAGGAGCAAGCAGGGCAGAGTCACGTCGCGGGGAGGTGCACAGCGGAAAACTCCGTCAAGCAAAGCGCCAGCGTCTCCTCTTCGGGAAGTAGCAGGTTTATGCAGTTTCTTTCTTCTGTGTCTTCTTTCACTTGACAAAATGCTGGAGATACACATTCATGCTGTGATTTTTAGAAAGGACTCACTGGTTTCCACTGTTATATCAATTTTGTAATGACCACATGATGTAGTCATTCTATCTAAATTATACTTGGATAAATTTCACTTGTTAGTTCTTTCGAACATTGCCGCTGTTAACATTCTGGTACACATGTGGGAACTTCTACTGTCAACATTTTTAAGGGTTTTTTATGTTTTAATTTTTTTACAATACTGTTAATAACGGTGTGTCGTGCACATAATTATACCCATAACCAGTGTATGCAACTCCCTCCCCCAAAGACCCCATCAACCCTCCCTTGCAATACCTCACTCCCACCTTTAGTTCTCCATTAGGTTTCCTTTGGACCTTTGTTGCTCCCTTGCTGTGTATCTTTAAATCCCACACATCACTTGTTCAAGCTACCTGTGACATATTCGATATGCCAAACACAGTAACAACTCTCACAATGGAGAAGTTACTGGGCCCACTCGAGCAAATCGATGAACAACGGGAGAACAGTGCTACAGTGCTACACCTGATCACTTGACATCCTGTTACTAATCCATTTGCTTGAGCAGGCGCCAGTAACATCTCCATTCGTCCCTGTCACATGCTAGTGTAGCCCAATGGCGTCTGCTCACTCCAGGTACATGAAAAGCCTCAAACCGATCGTTCAGGGTTTTGACGAAGAAGTCTGACCATCTTGTAGGTGGGTGGCCACGCGATCTGTTGACGTCCCATGGAATCCAGTCAGTAACGGCTCTAGTCCAGCGGTCATCTCCAAATCTCATTACGTGTCCAGCCCATCTGATTTTCGACGCCTTGACAAACGATACAGCGTCCCTGATTCTCAATCGTAGACAGAGGTCTTTCTCTCACTTGAGTGAAGCGTGATACTCCAAGTATAGCTCTTTCGATTCCTCTTTGGGAGACCCGAATAGCGTTCTCATCCTGTTTTCGTAGGGACCAGGTCTCTGAGGCATATGCTAATGCAGGAAGAACAGTGGAATTGAAGAGATGTGCCCGGAGCCGCACATGAGAGAGACTATTCTGAATCTTTTCCTTTGCTTCTCACTGACCTCACTCAACATAGTATCCTCTAGTTCCATCTAGCTGTTACAGATAGCAAGATTCTTTTCCATCTTGGAGCTGCATAGTATCCCATTGTGTATATAGACCACAAGGGGCTTGGGGGCTTTTTTTTTCTTTTTGGGTCACACCCAGTGATGCACAGAGGTTACTCCTGGGTCATGCACTCAGGAATTACTCCTGTGGTGCTGGGGGGACCATATAGGATGCTGCGAATCAAACCCGGGTCAGCCGCATGCAAGGCAAATGCCCTACCTGCCCCAAGACCACAGTTTCTTGATCCATTCATCCATAGTGGTGGTTTGGGTTTGATTTTTTTTCACATCTTGGCTATTGTACTAACTGCTGCAATTAACACAGGTCTGCATAGATCCTTTCAAATGAACATTAATATTATCATGAGTGTGTTCCCAAATGAGGAGGTTTTACCAGGAGCTTTGGGAGACCAGAACCTGCACCTCTACAAGGGAGGGTCTTGAGACACAAGGCCTCGGGATATTAATGGGAATGGGCTGGAGTTATCCTTGATGTGTGGTCGCAGGAATGTAGACTGGAGCAGGGAAGAAGTCACCATCACAGGCCTGGTCCAAAAATATTCCACACAGATCCCTCTCACCTAATAGGGAGCCCAAATTGCTGTCCTCACCCCAACAACCAGTCACCAAGGATTCACTCAGTCAAGGCCCGGGAAGCTCTTCCAGTGAGGAACAAGGATTTCTGCATGGTCGTGACGTCATGCATAGTGGCCAGCTGACTTGTGAGGACATCTGGCAATGACAGGGGCCCATGCTACCTAGAAAACCACACATGAGGGTCCGAAGCAATAGTACAGTGGGTAGGGTGTTTGCCTTGCACAGGCCGACCCGGGTTCAATCCCTAGCATCCCATATGTTCCCCCAAGCACCGCCAGAAGTAATTCCTGAGTGCAGAGCCAGGAGTAATCCGTGAGCATCGCTGGATATGACCCCCCCCAAAAAATGAAAGAAAGCCACACATGAGTCAAGTACAGGAGTAGATGTGGCCCCAGAGACCACAGCAAATAGCTGCCGTGTGGGCAAGGTGGAGCAGAAGGCTGTGTGACATGCGACTCTCCACAGGATGCAGAGTGGGGACTGGTTTGCACCAGAAGACGACAGAAAAGTTCACAAGAGGTGGCCTGGTCAACAGGAAATTCATGACAGTTCTCTGAGCAAGCGGTTACAGGCACAGAGAACCGGGGAAACCAAAGAGTGGGCAAGTGCCTGGAGATGAGGGGTGGGCAAGTGTTGGGAGACAGAGTGTGGACAGGGAACTGAAATATGGAAGGCTGATACTGAGCCAGCGCTAGGTGGAGAAAGGCTGTGAGGCAGTTCAAGGGCAGGTGCCTAGGACTGTGCAGAGGTGATGAACCATTTCTAAAGGTACAAGAAGAGCATTACCCAGACCAGACTGGGTGTGCAGTTCAGGAACTGACTGGGCGAGCAGGCAACCAGGGTGGGCCCCACTGGCTCCCAGAGAGGGCACCTGTTCTGGGTGGGTGAGAAGAGGGTGCTCTTGGATGGGGCTGATCTTGGGGACACAGGCGGGGAAAGCCCTGGTTTGGAGGGAGGGCTGGAGTGAGACCATCAACGCTTCAGACGGGGGATGAGTCTCTCCAGGGCATTCTTGACCTCAGTGTTCCTCAAAGAGTAGATGATGGGGTTCAGGGTGGGGCTCAGGGCTGTATACAGTGCTCCAGATGCTTTGTTCCTCTCAGGGCCATAGCTGGAGGCAGGGCTGATGTAGGAGCAGAATACAGCTGAGTAGTACACGGAGACCACCAGCAAGTGGGACGAGCAGGTGGAGAAAGCTCGCCGCTTGCCCTCAGCTGACCGAATGCGCAGGATGCTGGCAATGATGAACCCATAGGACATCAGGGTGAGCAGGAAGTTTATGACCCCATAGAAGGCATCGGCCAGAACCGTCATGATGCTGTTCACCAGCGTGGGACTGCAGGAGAGCAACAGGAGAGGGGGGATCTCGCAGAAGAAGTGTGTGATAAGATTGGGGCCGCAGAAGGTCAGTCTCACCATCAACCCAGTGTGCACCGAAGCATTGATGGCACAGATGAGCCACACGCCCGTGGCCAGGGCCCCACACAGCCGAGGGCTCATTATGGAGCTATAATGCAGAGGGTGGCAGATGGCCACGTAGCGATCATAAGCCATCACTGTGAGTAGCAGGAGCTCAGAAGACAGGGACCAGAGGAGAAAGAAGAGTTGGGCCATGCATCCTGGGAAGGAGATAGTGTTTTCTCCCAAGGCCAGACCCATTAGAGCCTTGGGAAGCACAGAGGAGGTGCAGATAATGTCCATGGTGGCTAGATTGAAGAGGAAAAAGTACATGGGGCTGCGGAGGCTGGGACTGCAGCTGATCAATGCAATGATGACAGTGTTGCCCACCAGCGCCAGGGTGTAGAGCGAGAGGAAGCAGCCCAGAAGTGGCAGCCGCAGCTCTGGGTGCTCTGAGAAGCCCTGCAGCACAAACTCCATGACCAGTGTCTTGTTGGAGCTCATGGCCCTGCTGGGAGGCCCCTGCTCCTGCCCCATGAGCTCAGCTGTTGGATAAAAGAGCACAACCTCCGTCAGATCCAAGTGAGCACAACCTCGGTCAGATCCTCATGGGTGGACCTGCTCACACCAGGGAAAGGAAGACCCAGATCTCCGCCCTGGAGCGTTTTCCTCAGTCACAATCACCCCCCAACACTCATATAAAAACAGGGCTGGATTGATTTCTCCCTTCACCCTGCAACCTAAACACGCTGTCCTCTGCATGTCTCCGGTGCACCCATCTTGGTGACTGTGTCCCTGACAGGAGAGCCTGGCAGGGTCCCACTAGGAGCAGCTCCTTCTCCTTGCTTCGTTGCTCGGCCACCATTGCCCAGTGACGTGCTGCCCCCACTCTCAGCCCCTGGAGCTCCTTTGGTTCCCCCTATGCATCCCTGAGGATCTGCCACAGCCAGATCTGGCCTCAGGCTACTCAGGTAGGCTCTGCAGTCCCCTTCAGTGAGGGACGCTTCACACCTGGGCTTGAGGCATCATTTCTGAGCCTCTGTCCAATGGCTCCTTCAAGACACTGTCCTCTGATGGCTCTCAGCACTGCCTACCCTGAGCAACAGACCTGTGAAGGTCAGGCCCTATATGACTTCCCAGCCTTCCAATTCCACATGCTTGTGTTCTCAGCCCCAGTGCTAGACCACTATCCAGAGAATCCCCATGGAATCAGGACCTGTCCTGGGTCCTGCTCCAGTTCAGTACCGACATGCAGGCTCTGAGAACACGGTGACCAGAAGACAAGGTCCCTTGTGCTTCCTCAAGTTTTCACCACTTTCTCAGTCCTCCGCTAAGCTTCCCAACCATGCTCACATGATCCCATCCAGGCCCTCGGCCATGCAGCATTCCAGCCTCTCGCCACCACCAGATTGGCTGCTCTCTCCTAAGTTCTTGGCGAGGTCACCGCAACACCCTAAGAGGAAGACTTGATATGACTGTCCACTCCCGTCCAGGACCTGGCTGAGTCACCTGACTTTTCCCTCCTGACTTGGTCCAGGGCTTGTTTCCACTGGCACTGCCTGTCCCCACCCATATCTTGAGCTCCCTGGATAGGAGCACAGCACCTCTGCTGCCCCTCATCCATTGCCCAAGAAAGAAGACCCTCACCCTTGAAGACCATATAGCACAACCACCATGGACAGTTCCTGCACCCCATCTCCACACAGAGGCCCCTCTGTCCACCAGACTTCTTGGTCTCTGTCTGGTATTCTGGCCTCCCATAGCCACCTTTTCACAGCAGGGATCAGAACTTCTATACTTCTTTCCACCACACTAACCACCGAGCTCAGTAAAGATTTTTTTCATCTGGGAAACAGGGAGCCAAAGAGATAGTACAGCAGAGAGGGCACTTGCCTTGTACACAGCCAATCCAGATTCAATCCCTGACACCACACAGGTCCCCCACGTTCTGCCAGGAGTTATCCACAATGCAGCAAGAAGTAAACAACCACCAAATTTGGTCCCCCAAAAATATTCAGAAGATGAAGGCAAAAGTAACTTTGCAAACCATCTTTGACTGTCAGGGGTGAGCTGACCAGGTGTCAGCCAGATCTGTTCCATATCCCACCAAACGGGCTTAACCTTTGAAGTCAGGGTGCTACTGCCACCTCATAACCACTTTCCAGGATGCACCCATCACGTGGATGACATTCACCCCGAGCACAAGAGGCAGCACCCAGAACATGGGAAAGCCTGCTCAGACCAGGCTATGGTGTGTCTGTTCGCTCTGCTTCCTTGCTCCCACCAAAGGTATAGGAGGTGCTACAGCCTCATCTTCACTGTGGAGAGTCAGTGGATGTCTCTCACTGGCAAAGCTGATCAGAACAAGAGTTCATCCCAAAGGAAAGGTGGAGAATGCAGCTTCACATGCCCATCAGTTCCACAAAGACAGTGGCACAGAACTTGGCTGTGCATTCAACTTCTGGAAACACGGGCAGCCTCTAGGTCTTGCTGACTTTCTTGCACTGGCAACTACAAACTCTAGCCAGCACCTTCAAACAACTCTTTGGAGACAGGCACTAGGTGGAAAGCTACCTTGAGAAGAAGAAAATCTTTCTAGAGATTTGTTTTAAGAGTTTTCACCCAAGGCTACTCTCAAGCTCATAATAATGTAGTGTTGCTAAAGACAAGCAGAAATCTTTAGCTTTATCGTAGCTTCAGTGACCCCAAGTTGGCCAGGAAGTAAGATGGAAAGTCGGGAAATTGAGGATTCACAGAGTGAAGAATCCTAAAGCTCTATGTAAAGAATATTCTGGTCCCAGAAATAAAGGGGCAACCCATATATATGCACCTGTGTGGGTCCTTCTGTATATGTGTACGTGTGTGCATGTATGCCTGCATCTGTATGTGTCCTTCTGTGTATTGCGTATCTGCGTGTCTATCTATATTGTCTATGTGTGTCTGTGTGTCCTTTTGTATATGCATATGCATGTATCTGTGTGTCTGTAACGTGTCCTTCTGTGTATGTATGTATGTATATGTGTATCTGTGTTTATTGTGTGTCTATATTGTTTATATGCATCTATGTATGTGTGTGCCTTATGTATGTGTATCTTTGTGCGTGTCTATGTGGATATATATATATATATATATGGGGGGCCTGCATTCATGTATATGTGTGTATGTGTACTTATGTATATCTGTTTGTATGTATTTAGATGTGCCTTTTCTTTGTATATGTGTGTGTGAATCAGTGTGTATGTGTGTAGCTGTGTTTGTCTATTGTGTCCTTATTTATGTGTGTATGTGTGTGTATGTTTATGTGCATATGTAGTGTGCATTTCTGGTATGTATGTGTCGGTGTATGTTATTCCAAGGAAATTAAAGCTATCTGGGGTGCAGAAAAAGCTCAGCAGAGACTCTTATACAGGGAAGGAGAATGAGTTTTGTTCCAGTCCACTTCTGTGTCTGGAGTGACAAAACTGCTGCTACTCAGAAGCAGAAATAGAATAAACAATATCTACAACATATCACCCAGAAGATCTAGAATATTCCATGAGTACAAAATGAACAAAGACTAGGAAAATTGGGTATATGCATAAGTCAAAAGTAATTATCATGATCTGACCTCCAGGCCTTGGAGTTAAGACTAAGAGCTTTAAAACAAATGTGTAAATATATGCTAAGACTAAAGGAAACTATATCTGTAATGAATAGAAAGGTTAACTGAGATCTCAATTTTCTCTAAGTCATCTACTGGCAATCTCATGCATTCTCTTGGCAGACTTTTTAGTTAAACAGAAAGTGACAATTATAAAAATGCATTTGAAAAGGAAAAGGACCTAAAATAACCAAAATGGGTCTTTAAAAAAGAACACATTTGCAGGACATACACTATCAAACATCAGGATTTTAACTGAAGTTGTTATATTCATATGACAACTTTCAATAATTTTTAAGATTGAAAAATTAAAAATAATGATGCCCAAAATTAAACCCATACATATATGGTCAGCTGAACTTTGTAATGTTTGCAAAAAAATTAATGACAAAAATAAAGGAGTTTACAAACACAATGGCCACTCAATACCTCTACTGCAAACTACAACACCCAAAAAGGGAGAGAGAACAAAAGGGAATGCCCTGCCACAGAGGCGGGGTAGGGTAGGGGAGAATGGGGTGGGGTGGTGGGAGGGATACTGGGATCATTGATGGTGGAGAATGGGCACTGGTGGATGGATGGGTACTCGATCATTGTATGACTGAAACGCAAGCATGAAAGTTTGTAAGTCTGTAACTGTGCCTCACAGTGATTCACTAATAAAAAATTTAAAAATAAAAAATAAAGGAGCTTCTGAATACTCTGTCATGCTCTGTATGCCCATGGCATAAGAGTAATCACAGACCAAGGCTGAACATACAAATTTATAAATTTTCCACAACTAAATCTAGTTTATTTCTGGTACCAGGGAAGAGGCAAACATTCTCATATCAGACACAAAAAGCATTAATAATAAACAATTCTATGATATATTAAAGGTCATCTAATTTTATTTAAAATCATCAGATTTTAAAACTAGGCACATAAAAATATACCATTAAAGTGAAGAGGCAAGGAAAGAAACTGTCAAGAGCTTGAAACTACATTAAACTAAGAAGCTTCTGTACCGCAAAAGAAATAGTGATCAAAGTAGAGAGAGAGCCCACGGAATGGGAAAATTTATTTACCCAATACCCATCATATAAGGGGTTAATATCCAGGATATACAAGACATTAGTAGAACTGTGCAAGAAAAAATATCCTCCAACCCCATCAAAAAATGGAGAGAAGAAATGAACAGAAAAAAAAAAAGAAATACAAATGGTCAGTAGGCACGTGAAAAAATGCTCTACATCATTAATAATCAGGGAGATGCAAATTAAAACAACAATGAGATATCATCTCACAGCTCAGATACTAGCACACATCAAAAAGAAAAAGAATAACCAGTGCTGGTGTGGATGTGGGGAGAAAGGGACTCTCTTTCATTGTTGGTGGGAATGCCGACTGGTCCAGCCTTTATGGAAAATAATATGGGCATTCCTCAAAAAACTAGAAATTGAGCTTCCATATGATCCAGCAATAACACTTCTGGGAATATATCCCGGGGGTGCAAAAAAGCACAATAGAAGTGATATCTGCACTTGTATGTTCATTGCGGCACTGTTCACTATAGACAAATCAGGAAACAACCCAAGTGCCCGAGAATGGACGACTGGTTAAAAAAAACTATGGTGCATCTACACAATAGATACTAAGCAACTGTTAGAAAAGATGAAGTCATGAAATTTGCTTATAAGTGGATGGATTTGGAGAGTATTATGTTAAGTGGAATGAGTCTGAAAGAGAGGGACAGACATAGAATGACTGCACTCATTTGTGGAACATAAAATAACACAATATGAGACTAACATCCAAGGACAATAGAGACAAGTGCCAGGAAGATTGTCTCATGGTTGGAAGCCTGCCTCATGAACTGGGCGAGAAGGCAGCTGGAATAGAGAAGTGATCACTAAGTCAAT